TTTTAAGTAATTCTGTATGAATATGCATATTTTGGGATTTTACTGGACGAATGTGTAAGATTCATAGTTTTATGGCACACATTTTTTTTTAAAAAATGTATTGCAATACATTTTTATATTATCAATTTGTAATTTATATTATCAATAAACCCGAATGCCGTTTAATTTGTATCAATTCTGCCCTTCGTTGCCCTATGAACTGAGCGTCTTTATCTTTCGTGATACTTATTGTCTATTTAAAATTTCAAAGTTATTGCAGCAGGGATATGCGGTGCTACTAGGAACTACGTCCACGGCCCTTAGTTGCGGCCGCTCAGCCAACGCTATGTTCGAGTCTTGTATCTTCCCAATCGGATGATACATCCGTTTTGTCAGTCTTCGCAGAACTTCACAACACGAGACTGCATGCGACATTGACCTTAAGTCCGGGCGCGAAGCTCGGTGGCAATCGCACTGCGTTTCAAATTCATCAAATTTCTCGGAAGAGATTTTGCTATGCGAGGTACGAGACAGAGAATGGACGCAGTTTAAACCGCTTATAGTTGCGTGCACACGTAAGTCAGAGAGAGGCTCCGCACACAGACAAGTGTAAATGTAAATCGAAGCTTTTCCTGTCTGAAACATGTATTAGTTGATGGAAGATACAATAATTTCTCAGAAAATAATTTGGAAATGTGCATAATTGTAAATTATAATGAAAACATTTAAGAACATTTCTCCTATAACATAATTATTTTTGATTTCTGGAGGTTATTTGTATTTTTCAATATTTGCATTTGCTTTTTTGGTATTTTTATGCTCATTTAATTGTGGGAGTAATAATATTTAAAATGTCAATTTTTTAAACAATGAACAAATTAATTATAATAAAAACACTAAAATCGTAATATTTCATTCACATTAAATATCACATTCAAAAATTTTGAATTTGATAGGAAATGATTTTAATATACATAAAATATTAAAAAATAAGTTATTGTAGTATAAAATAAGTTGAATGTGGATTAACGGAAATTTTTAGGTTTCATAACACCGTTTTGAAAAGTTTCGATCTCTTTATTGCATGTTTTGGCATGTTTTGGTGTTTTAATGCACGTTTTAGAGGGTTTACTGCATGAAAATCAGGTCTTTAAACATAATAATAATAATAATAATAATAATAATAATAATAATAATAATGATGATGATGATGATGATGATGATGATCAAGAGTTATGTCGCTACAGTGACGTCACTATGGTAACGTTCAAGCTCCCAATTAGACGAAACCGTCAACAGCTGATATCTGCCAGGCGCACGACTAAACAAATCGTACTACAGTTACACGAGGAATACTGCGCCGCATCTCTTTAAGGGAAAAGGGGACAGAACTTAATAAACCAACTTAACCAGTGGGAATAGCAAGCCTGCTTTCCCGGTAACCTAACGATCGCGTGAAGAGAAAATATTTTTCAGTAATTTTTTTAGTGTGCGGTACCTGGCGGATGGAACTGGACATTTTGAATACCTAGAGTATTCAGAAAAGCCGAACTAAAAAACGAACATCCACTTTTTAAATAATTGTTTTAAATGAGAAATGTGCTCCATATTGAAACCTATCTTAACCTAGTGGTGCTCACGAGCACATTATTTTTAAATTTGCAATTTTCGTAATTTCATTGTTTCATTATTTCACATTATTTCTAAATTTGCAAATTTCGAAAATTCTGAGGGTATAACGGAAATGAGGCCTGCGTCCCTTTAAGCTTTCTTTCTATCTGTGTGGAGAAAATTGAAGAAAAAAATTGGAGCGGTTTTTGTGAAAATGTTTTTATTATAAATTGCTTTCATTTCAAGCACCTACAAGTATTACGCAATGCTACTAGTTTTTTAAAACATTGTACATGACCTTTTTAAAGAGCTGATATTTTAGAACAGATTTTGTTTAAAGCAAAAATCTCTATCTTCAATTATGTAACTTTTAAATGGTAAACTTTTGCAATTTTTGAAAATACGAAGGGTTTGCCGTAAATGACACTAGCACGAATTTTTTTACAATAATATCGTTATATCTATAATTAATTTCTCTAATTGCGAAAAACTGAAGATTAGAAATATTAATCGTTTGTTTATTTAAATTTGACGTATAAAACCTCCAAAAACATTTTCTTGTTTGTGCCAAAATGTCAATTAACTAACTTTATTTAGTGATTTAATTAATAATTCTCTTATCCAAAGAATTGCATCTTCCAAATGCCTTCCTCAAGTACGTATACCATACCCATAACATGCTTCAAATCTCCCTTTAGTTAACTGCGACAGTAATTGTATCATTGATATCAGAAATAATGGTTTTGGAATTATTAGTGTTCGTTCATGTTCGTTATCAAATATTCACTGAAGACGAATAGTTGAGTTATCGGTATTGGAATTGAATTACTCGCCAATCATGTCATGGAGGGCTCTGACATACACGATTCAATTTCCTTCGTCACGCACGAACTGCTTTCCTGGCATGTCAGTGCAAACGTCACCAGCGTATTTGGCACTCCTCCAAGCCCCCAAATCTGGATAACTATCCCGAAAACAACGGTAAATAAGCGGCCATCTTGTGCCAGCGAACCGCGCCCAGATCCGCATAATGGAACCTTTCCCAACAGCTTCCTTTATTGTTCCGAGCGCCAGCATTGTTCGGCGCGGCGCGGTGCGGCGCGGGGGCGTTCGCAAAGGCAGTGCGGAGCAGGTAGGCACGGCCCGGGAGCCCTCCCTCGCGCGCCCGACCAGCCCTCCGTCATCGTCCGGCGACCTGCGGCACGCAGTGGGCTGAAATGGCCTGCAAAGTGCGTGGCTTAGAAGAACCAGACTCAATGACGAATCGCCAATATTTATGTATTTTATATCTTTTTAGCCTGATAGATGTTTTTACACCATTTGATCAGAAAAAAAGTACGCCAAACGTAGCATTTAAGTAAATAAAAATTTGCTGGTGTAGTTTAAATGAGAAATAAGATCTTACTTAAACATGCTGAAACTTTTTATGGCTTGGAGAGCTTAGCTGCGATTTTTATATTAAAAAAAAGTTCATTTTAAATAGCTACATTTTAACCTTTAATACAACTATGATCATTTGCGAGTGTGAGTATTACAGCAGTTTGGAAAATGTTTAAAATGTCAGAAAACCCTGTCAGTCAGTGTGATCACTCAACTGCAGTCAAATAAATATTTATGCGACTTTTTCTGTTTCGGTGTTGTGTGAAGAAAGAAAAAAGCTCGGGTAGGCCCAGTAAGCTGTGTTCCATGATGGGAATGGCTACAAGTCTTGCTGGCTACAAGTCTTTCTTGCCCCCCCCCCCGGCGTGGATAACGAATAAACACACGGAACAACTGCTAGCTGATAAAAGTATAACAAAATAAACAAAATTGAATCATAGATTAAATATCTATGACCCACTTTATCGGCATTTTGTAGACATTATTTCCACAGATCCACGCCCGCATTTCAGCCCGTTCTACCCCACTGAGCGTGGCCGCGTGCGTGCGGTGCGGTGTGGGGGCGAGGGTCGCCGTGCAGCGCAGCGCCAGGTGCATGGGGGCGGTCGCCAGCAGTTGGCACCGCGCCCCCCACTCCTCCCTGCCGCTCGGGGCGGGCAAGCTGTGCACGGCGCTGCGCGGCGACCTTGAGAAGCGGTCCTGCAGCTCGCGGCCCGCTTGGCGCGGCCGGGCGCAGCCCTCTCCTCTCCGGTCCTTCCGGAGAGCGTCCTCTCGGCGACATCTTAGCACCAGTGGAAGGCGAGGCGAGGAGACGCGACGCCATGCAATTTAAAAACACGGCCGCCGCCGCCGCTTGTTTGCGGAGCAGGCATTTGGCGCGCGTTGGTCCTCGCGGTCGTTGGCCTTGACGGATGTCGCGTACCTCGCGTGATTACTAATGGCAAATTTTCAATAATGTGCGATTCTGTGATGAGAGACACGCGGAACCGAAAATTAAAATTACTGGCGTGGAACTAGAAGCTTCTTTCGGATCCATGAAGTAACAAAAAATTGTATTTTTTTAAACGCTTCCTCATTCGAAAAGAATAATACTTGAAATTGACAAATGGATATGTTCCCAGGAAGACTATAAAAAACATATTAACACACCAATACATTTATTTTTAATTAACAAATTCTAGTATAGTAAACTCTCGTTAGCGCGAACTCATTAAACACGAATTTCGCCGAAACACGAACAAAACTTCGGTCCCTCCCGGCAAAGGATTATGCAAATACGGGCATTTGTAATACTCGGATAACACTAATTTTTATAACACGAACTCCTATTATTTTAGTCCTTTGGAATTCATGTTAATGAGGGTTTACTGTGTACAAATTATTCAATTTTAACAAGACATTAATGATCAATGAAGTAGTATACTAAACTTCAATAGGATTTTCTTTCTCTTTATAAGGTACTGTGTCAAAATAGTTGGTTTCTTTGTAAGAATTCATGTCGTTTTATTTTACGGACAGAGAATTCGTGATCATTACCCCATAATTAATATCAGTTAATTTCTACATTACATCGTAAGTAGAAAACGTACTAAAATGTATGCATTTCTTTACTGTTAACAAAGCTTAAACAGATGTATTTTTTTTCAAACATCTCGTAATAATGAAGATAAAGTTAGCTACTGTTTGTTAATTATGTACAACTTCGACAGTTTTTCCAAATCGTTGCTGTTAAGACGACACATTATTTTTTGTGTACTCGAAGTCAGACTTTAGAAAGATATGGAAAGAACTCTACCTATGATAGTATTTCATCGCTCTCAATTCTCCATTAGAATTGATGACTTTTATGATCTGATTATGTTTCAATTGTGCTTGGCACCTGCTGCATATATCTCGGTCCCTACGGAAACGAACATGTGAGTATACTATATCCTCCTCGTTCTAGCAAAAGACCTTGAATCACGCGATATGATTCCTCCCAGTGACTCACCGACCACACACTTAAACTAATTAAACCCTTATGTGAGTGTCGTCGATAACAATCACACAGCCATAACAGGTTTCTAAAGTTTGGGGCTTTTCAGTTCGTGTTGGTTGGCCGCCCTGAAACGACCTTGTCTTTTTTTGTTCACTGGTGTGTATGTTGTGAGCGTCACTTTGAAAGCGTCAGAAAGGGCAGGTCGAAGCGAAGGGTCCTTTTGTGAACTGGAAGGGCGAGTTTGGTTGTCGTATTTGTTGAAAGATTGCTGTGGAAGGTGGATGATAATTTTCTTCAACTAACAGGTGAGCTGCCATTCATACAAACAAGAAATATATTACATTTAGCACGTGTGGTACGTATGACTTTCGCCGGTTTGTTGATGTTTTAGAACAATAGCACCTGACAGCCTCAACAGGGCCTGAGAGTCACGTGGTGAGCACCATGAGGTAGTCTTCAACTACTTCGTTCATCAACTAATTTGATTTTTCTTTATTTTTGGGGAAATGACCAAGAAATATATTTGAATAAACATGTTATTAAAACTTTTAAATAACAATCGCTTTTGACACCTGCTGTAATTGTTTTGTTTGTTTTTTCTCCCTTTTTTTTCTTTTGAGAAATTTACGTTAGTTTGTATGATTCTTTGTTGAATTTCAAAAGTGCTTTTATTGATTGCTAATATATATTCAAAACATAGCCAATAATATGATTAGAAAACAGCTTCAAGGTGATAAAATATTTTTATTTTCAAATAAAGGTTGTTTAGTTTCTTGCAGAAAATTTACCTAGTAAACATTTTATTTTATGAATACTTTTTTAATTTTTTTTTTAGGTTCTTAAAAATTTATAAAGGAAATGGGACCTTCACAAGAAAATAAACATAAAGCATTATACTCCAGTATTACCTCAGATGTGATTTTTGATCACATCTCTTCCAAGTTGCTGCAACAGGAGATCATCAATGGTGAAGAATATCAAAAAGTAAAAGCAAACATTACAGATTCGCAGCAAATGTCTGCCTTATTAGATATTCTCAAAGAGAAAAATTCACAGTATTTCAAAAATTTTGTGAAAATTCTTAAGGCAGACTACAAATGGATAGCTGATGAATTGGATAATAATAGCATTGATTTTCTCAAAGTTATATCGAAACCATCACCTTTTTCTATAGGTAAAAAAATATGTATTATACATTATTTAATTGTTACATGTGTGATGAATGTGTCATTAAATTGTTTAAATAACTCACAAAGAATTAAAATAAATGGGGTGACTTTACTTGAGGAGATTTGCACTAAATAAAAAGAAATACAATGTTAAACAATAGATGTGAAGATATAGGAAAAAAACCCAAGTTTCAAATAGTGCATTTCTGCATTTCTCTTTACTTTTTTTAAAAAGTGTTTTTAGTTTTAAGTATAATAACGGAATTTTGAATTAAAAGTGAAAAAAATGAAGTTGACCATTTTGGTTTTTTAGGTGTAACTAATGAGATGATGCAACTAGTCCAGAAGAATCATAGAGTTGCTGATAAGTGGACCGTTCTAGCTCATTCTCTTGGTTTAAGCCGACATGTAATGGATATAAGAATTAGAGTTAACATGTATGGTGAAGCAAATAGCATGTGTATTCTATACCTTCTTCAAGAATGGGTTGGTGCTGTTTCAAAAAAAGCAACTTTGGGTCATCTTCTGAAGGTCTTACGTGAACAAGATTTTAATGATATTGCAGGTGAGACTACAATTAAAGTTTTCAAATGAAAATGAGTAAAAATTAATGAGTGAATTCTGGTCGCAGGATAGAAGTTCTTAAGTAGACAGTTTTACATAAGAACTTAAGAACATTTTCCCAGTGGTCACAGAATTTATAATTCATTAAAAAAAAGATTTTAGTGACATTAGCTATTACAAGAAGTTTCAACAAGAATCTGCTCATGTACATTGCAGGGCCAAAGTTGTGTGATACATATTAATATTGTCTAATTTGTTTTATAATGGGCAAAACCACCTAGTTTTAAACAAGCAAAGCTTGGCATTGAAGTTGTAGGATGTTAAATTCGTACACCAAGGTATTCTTTTGTTGTTTACTCCCGATACTGTTTCTTTATAACTCAAAACTCTGAAATAATTATTTTTCTCTGTGGAGTGCTTGTTAATTACCTTATTATTTGTAATAAATTATTTCTTACAAATAAAGTACCTATTCAAAATAGTTTAGTACAGCTTGGTGTACATAACTCGGGTTTGTAAAAAGTGCACTTGGCTGGTTTTGCTGGCTGTGGCAATATGCCACTTAAACTTAAGTTTAAATCTTTTACTAATTATCTCTCATAATTCACCTCTCGAATTTGTTGTTTGCTACATTTGATATGTTCACTTGAACAAATAATTTGAGTAAAATAAACATGTGTACATATATTGAATTTTCTTTTATAACTAAATGTGTAATTTCCCTTTCAGAATCTTAGTACTTTCTGAATTGTTCGTAATTTTTAAGTTTAGTAACTTATTAGTTACATTCTCCTATTGTCTTCTGTGTTTTTTGTCATAATTTAATTTCAATTTTTATTTTTCAGATGTATTGGAGGAAAAATTCACTTGAATTTTTGTCAGAATTTTTAAGAGACTTTTGATCTTGTATGAAACTTACATAATTTCATACAGAACTTTACATAATTTCTACTTTCACCATTGATGCATCACAAAACATTGCTTCTGCAAATCTCAGGATTTACTTTTCATCTGAGAAAATTTAAGCTGTGCATCACAGTGGATTTGATAACTTTTTAATATCTTTCTTTTCTTATGTATTTTTACATTATTATATCCCAACTCCTAATTGTTATATCATTTAATCTCTATCACTGTCTTTCATGTTAGATATTTACTACATTTTGATACATATCATATTGAGACATATCTGTATTAATGCACATTCTTATAGAATCCTTACTTTAAAGTTATATTATTTTGATATTTTAAAAAAGTTACAATTCTAAACCAATAGTTTCACACAGCTTCATTAATATCTCAAGATTTGGGATATGAGACTGAAGTAGATTTTAAGGGCTGATTAAGGCAGATGACATGACATTTTTAATTTGGAGATGACTAATTGGAGACATGTTGTTAATTGGATTGTTATTTATTGTTTGGCAATATCCATATGTGAAATATTAAAGTATTATTAAAACGTTATTATAGTATAGTAGAAATAAATTTAAAATGACCAAAATCTATACATGGCTTCTTTATATGAGAGACAAAGTTATTAAAGCTAAAATCTCTTGTAATTATCTTGTGTATAATATAAGAAAAAAGCTGAAACATGGTATGAGTAGTAACAAACATGACTCCCCATTTAGATAGAGTACATTATTTAATAATTAGAAAAGCTTTTGAAATGTATATTATGTTTTCTCAGTATTACCTGCCTGATAAAGAAATTATATTAGTGTGTTTGCCAATATAATTGATCTCTACGTTTATTTTTTTTACTGAAAAACATTTTTTTTTTCATTCATTGTTTTCAGTATTGAACTGTGTAGTTCTGAATCTATTTTGGGTGTGTTTTGAAAACCTATTGCGAAATATGTTTTCAGTAAGAATGCATACTCTCATTTATTGGAATCTTACGTTTGAGCTTTTTATATGTATGTTAGTAAGAAATACACAGATTGTAATGTTTACCTATTTCAGCTGCTGAATTGTTAATTCTGTAGCGTGCTTGTGAACTTTTCTTTTTTTGTTTCATTCTTATCTTCAATATCAGTGATACAAGTACATTATAATATTTCAATATGTACATTCTGTAATGCCTACAAATGCTAATTTATTTTCTTCTGTTAGCTGTAAATTAAAGTATATGAGAATAAGGAAGTAAATTTCTAGCAAATACATTAGATATTTGGTGCTATTTTGTGAGAGTTGTGTTTATTGCTCGACTTCAATACATTCTTTTTTTTGTAAATTGTCTATATTTTCCAAAACAAGAAGAGTTCATGATTTTGAACACTCAACTTATTTGTTGGAAAAACATTATGAAATTAATTAACTAGTGGTTGTTACAGATTGGCACAGACTTTCTCATACTTGTTAGTTGTCTTTGGTCTGGGCTAGCTTTTCGGACTTTCCACATTCTCTAGTCAGCTGCCATCTAGAGCTTCCCAAAGTCTTAAATTATTTTTTTATAATTTTTAATTTTTTTTAAGTTTTTCAATTTTCTAATAGTAGAATCAAAATATTACTTTTGGAATATTACAAAAGAGAAAAAAATTGTCCTATAAGGAAATTTTCATTAAAAAATTTTGAGCCACTCTTGATATTTTGAACCAATGGATTTTAAGTGTTACTGCAAATGCAAAATTTGCAGCCCTTTTTCACAGTATCATAATAAGGTTAAATGCCATTTCTCAAAAACAGCTCGAAATTTTTAATGAAAATTGCCTTAGAGGATAAGGTTTTACTTTCCTATAATATTCTTAAAGTTATATTTCATTTTTACTATTCAGAAACAGAAAAATTGAGAGAGAGAAAAAACTGTACTGTTTGAGGCACAAAAATGTACTAGGGGCTGCTCACTAAATTATGTGGCAAGTTTGAAAATGTAGCCTAGGCCAGAAGAAATAGCGAAAACTAACTAGTACGGAGAGAACGCGTCCTCGTTGTTGTCATATCCAATAGAAGTACTGCTAGATTTTTAATGGAAGTTCTTTCATTTGTTGGTGTTTCAAAGCAGTGAGAACTTGTAAATCCAACGTTTATCTTTCATTGTTGTCAAGTATCCCACAAATTCTATGTTTAAACTAAATTATCTGATATTCCCGAAAACCAAAGAAGGATTATTTAATAAATACACAACTCTCTTAGAGGTGTGCAATTAACTTGTACAAGTTTGAATCTATTTCTTACTTTAAATAGAATTTAGTAACAGTGTGTAATGCTTCATTTCCATTATATTCCATTTTTTATGAAGTTTATTTCTGAAATTTTATATTGGTAATGAAAATTTCTTTGAGAACGTATATGTATTTGATTGCATTATGTGAATGCTAAAAAATTGAATCTTTGAAATAATTTGCTTTGAATAGGCTGCAAATCACTGATTTGTGAATGTGTGTAGGCTCTCTATTATTATACTTTACTCTTGATACACAAGAATGCTTTTATATTTCAGAGTACAAATTATTTTACTCTTCTTTTTGTTGTGATGTTAATCACAGTATGCTTCTCAAGTATATTATAGGTGCTTTTGCAATTTTTTGTTGCCATATTTTTGTACCCTAATTTTTAAGTTTTTAGTGCAATCAGTCATTTGTTTTATATTACATAAATAAATTGGGTATTTGAATCCAATTTTGTATAAATTTCAAATAAATAAATAAAAAACACATTTTCATTCCTGACTTCATTGTTTCTTTTTTAAAGAGTTTATTTATGTCACAGACTCTTAAAGTTTACCAGGTATATGAAGCATATATAATTTTCATTAATGAGTTGAATTCATTTTTGTTAGCAGTATCCCATTAAAGATATATTAGGATCTCACTAAAAAATAACACATTACGCAAGAGAGACTCTTTGCACCTTTAATAACATATCTTTCTAATATCTATTGTTTCACAAATATTTCCACATGCATTAAGAAACAAAATGAAATGGATGAAAGTTACATATTTTTTTCAAAGAAGTTTTTTTTTAATTAGCTCTTTTTACAAATTTTTTTCAAAATGATTGAAGTTCATGTCAAATTTTCAGAATGAAATATTTTGTAGATCCATTTACCCTAGTATTGTGAAGGTTTTTGGAAGACATCATATCTTGTAATGTTCAGGCTTTTTTTATCTAATATTGAGATACACTTTTAATTATTAAATAAATAAAAGCCTATTTCTTATATTGAATATCATAAATAATTTAATTTTCAACATTTGTAATTTTTAGAAACCTTCACATATTTGTCTGTTAATCAATATATTACTATTATTGTGATCTGCATGCAAACAAGATACAAAAATTCTAAAGAATAGTTATATTTTAATAAATATTTTATAAAAAAGAGGACATATCTGAAAAGTGGCCACCCAATGAATTAATAAACTGCTCTCAACTAGTAGTTGACCAGCTAGTTTGTGGTGACCTGACCGGAAGTGCTTATAATAGGATGTTTTCAAGAGCTATATGAACATTGGTTGTAAATATCAGACGAAGGTCATTATTTTGCTGAAGGTTGTGAATCTATGTTGTTATTGTAATAAGGATTGACAAAACATTCTACAAACTACCTACCACAATACTTTTTTGAAGAGAAAAACTCACATTGAACAGATAAGTTAACTTAAATACATATTATTTCCCAAATTATTATGGTATTAATTTAAATAATTTTGAGAAATGAATACATCATACTAGAGCTTTCTTATTTTCAATTTTGAATAGGTCCTTTAGTGCAGAGAGGGATCAAGAAATTGCTTGGGAGACAGGTCCACAGCATTTTAGTCCACTTAATCAAAACAATTATCACACACTGATTGCATTTCACCTGCGGCATTATTTCCATTGTGAATATACATTATTTTTAATTTTCAATCTGACCTTTTTTCAAAAAAATATTTGAGGGTTTCGAGTTCCCATTGAAATTTTCCCCAATACATACTTTCTGGATTCGCCTACGCTTCAGCTATCTCTCTGTCCTATAAAACGATGGAAACTTGCGGCTCTTCCCCCTTGTCATTACGAACGACAGAAAATCTGCTCAACTCAAACTTTAAAAGCGAGGTGAGGCTTCTCTACGCTTGTTAAGGGTCCCTTTTCACGTCGCCACCGCTGCGCCCTTCCGATCACCGCGGCTCGTATCAGAGCATTGGTTTGTATGGAGACCTTCCCGCGTGCAGAGGGCGTGCGCTGCTGCGCCAAGCGTCGCCGGACTCTCGCTACGCGAATCGGAGAACGTACGCGCCACCGCTAGCAGAACACAACTTCAAATGGTGGTATTCCCACTGCGCCGCCGGTCGCGGTGTTGTACCTGCTGCGGTCTCTTTGTTCGACGTCGCCGGAGGGTCGGCGAAACCTACCCCTGCAGAACCCACCCCCTTCCATGGCGGGCGGCGGTCCGGCGGTGGCGGCGTGGGAAGTCTCTTCCCGCTTATCGGAAGCGCGCCGCACTGGCGACGTGTGAAGAGGCCCTAAACGTTATTTGTTACGTTAACAATATTTGCGAAGCACCTTGCGTAATCGCTTGGTACTCGACGAATGCCGCATCAGATGCGACGCCTTCACACGCCGCCAGTGCGGCGCGCTTTCGATTAGCGGGAAGGCTCTTCCCACGCCGCCACCGCCGCACGCCACCGCCGGACCACCGCTCGCCGTGGAAGGGGGTGGGTTCTGCAAGGGTGGGTTCCGCCGACCCTCCGGCGACGACGAACAAAGGGACCGCAGCAGGTACAACACCGCGACCGACAGCGCAGTGGGAATACCATAATATTTTTAATCTTTACGCGGTCACAGTTGCTTTCCACGTCCTCATTACCTGCATTGCGCGCGGACAGACTGATCGGTGTTTTTGGGCGTCAATTGAAATAGCCATAAGCACCGCACGTGTTATGTACGGGCACACCCGGGGAAGGTGGGGGTGTTCCTTCCCCGCTGGAACGGGAGATCTGGCCGCGGCTTCCGGGCTTCTCCCTGCAGGTGTCTCTCACAGTCGGGCACTCTAGCCGGAACAAGCTCTAAGCTGCTCCACGAAATGTGCGGTCGTGTAAAGCACTTACTTGTGTGTATTGAAGGGGAAATGGGGACCAAGGATGAGAAAGGAAGATCGCGTGCTGCCCGTGACCCGTTTATTAGTGTACTTTTCTGGTATTCCCTGCTATTTAGCCGGTGTCAAAAATTCCGTCACCGTCGGACTCGATCCTTAGAGCCATCCGGCCAAAGTCGTCGCAGGGTCTTCATGGAAGGGAAGCAGATTCTACTGCAGCGCTCTAAGCTAACGCGGCCGGTACTGCACGCGGACGTCTCTGGCCCATATAACTACGTGGATACCTTTCCTGCATCGACCTTTTCTTTTTCTTAGCGTTGGTTCCGCGCAATTGCAGGGTTCGACGATCCTCTTGCCGGCGTAGGTCAGTTATTACTGGGTGGATAATACATACTCCCCCACGGCGCCTCAGTCCGATTGGTTTTTCTGGGCCCGTCAACTGCTATGGTCAGTATTCCCGTTAGTGTGGTAAATCGCAGGAGCTGGCGGAGTATTCCTCCAACCAGGTGCCCTTCCCTCCAGCGGTTCGCCGCCCCAGCCGATTCGTGACCTAAGCTCCCGACTGCTCTCTTGGCATGTGTGGTAGGGTACGTGAAAGTGTGTGAGAGTTGGGGGAGAAAATAGGCCAAAGAAGAGGAAGGGAAGATTACGCGAGATCCATGACCCTTTTTTCTCCTGTATTATCAAGGTATTCATTGGAAATTCCACGGAAAACTACTGACTAGAGCAACCGACCGCTAGAATTCTCCTCCAGACAGCGACTGAATCTCATCTACATATGTAGCTAATGTCAAAATCCTGCCACCGTCGACACTCGAATCCTAAGATCTCCAGGTCCGATTCAGCCTGGCAACCGCCATTGAAGAGAGCGGCAATGCTGGCTCTGAGGTAAACTCCGCCAGTGCGCTTCAGTGTGATTTGGGTGTGATGATAGGATGATTATGGTTGAAAGTAAAGACCGGGCACAGTCCGTTGCTCGTGCCGAGTGCTGATCCGACATTCGCCTGGAAGTGCTCAGAAAGAACACGAATACTACAGATCGGAGCCGAGGACATTCGAAATCGATCCTTGGAGGAATGGAACCTTGTCGGGGCCTCCCAACCACTCGTACGTTCGAGCCGTAAGACCCACTAAAGCATCAATTCATGTCACAGCTGGGCCTGTGACCGAGAGGTCCTACGATTCGAATCCCGAGGGGGCAGGATTTTTGTCAGTAGCTAGGTAGCTAAGTCGAATTCAGCAGCTGTCTGGAGGGGCATTCTAGCAGTCTGCTGCTTTGTTCGGTAGTTTTCCGTGTTTTTTCCGATCAATACCAGTACGCTAACAAACGGGCCACAGACCGTCCGCGATATTTCCTTCCTCTTCCTCGTCCTAAACCCACCCGTTAATTACACACACTTGATACGCACTACACTACCA